TTTTTTAAATTGCCCGTTTCAGGTTATTTTACATGTAAAATATTAAAAATATTACTAAATTTCACCTTTTAAAGTACTTACCGGGCAGGGCATAGTGGCTCATGCCTGTAATCCCAGGACTTTGGAAGACCGAGGTGGACAGGTTGCTTGGGCCCAGGAGTTCAAGACCAGCCTTGGCAAAACAGTGATACCCTGTCTCCAAAAAAAGATATAATTGTGTATAGCTGTATCACATTACCTAACACAGTGATTTACACATAGTAGGTACTTAATATGTGTTGCTGAGTGACTTCTTGAATAAAAAATATAGGTGATTTTTATTTTATCCTATGACCTGAATTTATTTAGTATCAGAATTTCTAAGCAAAATGTTAAGATAAATGAATGACTTGCTTGTTCAATACCAGCATTTTTGTTTGCTAGGGCCATAGCATTATGTGACAATTCTTGAAAACTGTCGAAACAGTCTGCTGCTCTTCGTTTGTATTTCAGCTCAACCATAATAATAACAACTGGACTTTTTGAAAATATGTATTAACCTCTTTGAGGGGTTATACATATTTCTATCATATAATTATTTTCAAGGAAAATTAATCCTTTAAACCTATTTACTAAGGAAAAAAGTTTTTAAAAAACTGTATTATTCTGTTATTTGAGTTAAAAACTTCCTTGTTAATTTTGGTGCCTAATAATAACCTCTACCCATTAATTGTTATATAGCCATTTAATATTTTAGTCATTTTACTATATAAATGCTATTGTTTGATAATCCTCACTTCAAAAGATGGTCAAATCCTCTTTCCCTTTAAGTGTGGGGTTGGACTTAGTGACTCTCTTCCAAAAACAGAATATGGCAGAAGCGATGAGGTGTGATTAGGTCATAAACGACATTGTGCTTCCTCCTTGCTGTCTGTCTGCCTCCCAGCTCTTATGTCATAAGGACACTCAAGATGTTCCATGAACTTCATGTGGCAAGGAATTGAAACCTCATTAACAGCAATCAGCAAGAAATAAAGACATTTTTTCTACAGCTGTCTGAGTAAGAGATCTTAGAAGGGGATCCTCCAGCCCTAATCAAACCCAGTCAAGTCTAAAATGACTGCATCCCAAGTAGAAATCTTAACTGCAACCTATGAGAAACCTAACACAGAAGTATCCAGCGAAGTTGAAATTCCTAAACTACAGAAACTATGAAATAATAAATGTTTTAAGCTGCTTGATTTGTTATGGGGATAATTCATTGTGCCACAATAGAAACTAATACAAATGCTGTATTATTTTCATAAAATGCATTGGCAACTTTATAAATTCATGTTTTAATTTCTGTGTTACGAGTTTCTCAAACTAGTATGAAGCAATAAACTCTGGACAATGTCAGCATAATTATTTTAGAAATATTTTGGATAAATATAGGATGACAGAACTTTCATAGTACGCTAGAGACTACTGATTAGGTGATATAAACAGATTTGGTAATCTAAAAAGATATTTATTTCTGTGTCTGCCCAAAACTAAATTTTCTCTATTAATTTTTTTCCTAAAATAATTTTTCTTCTTAGGAAAAAAAGCTAAATTTTTTTTAAGAGCAAACAAATAAGGCCAGTCACAACGGCTCACGCCTATAATTCCAGCACTTTGGGAGGCTGAGGCGGGTGGATCACAAAATTAGGAGATCGAGACCATTCCAGCTAACATGGTGAAACCCTGTCTCTACTAAAAATACAAAAAAATTAGCTGGGTGTGGTGGCATGTGCCTATGGTACCAGCTACTCGGGAGGCTGAGGCAGGAGAATCACTTAAGCCTGGGAGACAGAGGTTGCAGGGAGCCAAGATCACGCCACTGCACTCCAGCCTGGGCGGCAGAGCAAGACTCCATCTCAAAAATAAATAAATAAAATAATAATGATAATTTTTAAAAACTATGCAAACCCATGCTCAGACATAACATAATACTATCATTTTAGCACATTTCTATTGTATATCTTTAATATTTTAAAAACATAAGATCATACTGCACATGTTTTAAATGGAACATGAATTTTTCATGACATTTAACATTCATCTCTGATGTAACCTATAAACATCTTCATTCTAAGCTCTTCTCATCTCCATTACACTATCACTCTAGATTAAATTATTACTATCTTTTGCCTGAGCTGCTCGCCTTTAAAAGGTTGAAGGCTTTACCCTTGCCCATACAGAAGCCAGGTGGATTCTTGTAAAATATCAGTACAGTCACATTACTTCTCTATTCCCAAAAAACCTAAATTTTGTTCACCACTGACAATGCTTTGCAAGATCTGGCACCTAGCCTCCTTTCAGCTCTCATTTCCTATCACTTTCATTTTGCTCACTGGCTACCTAGTTTGCTATGAAGGCTTTTCACTTCCTCAGCTCTGCCTGGAAAACTTCTCCCACATATTCACAAATGTCTCACTCCCTCACTTCATTCAGTTCTCTGCTCAAAAGACACTTCTTCAGAGAGGACTTCCTTATTCTAAAAAAGCTCATCTAAAAAAGCTTTCTTTATTACTTAGGCTTTTTAAATATAATCATGTCAGTATTTGACATTACATTATATTTGACAGGAGATATTTACCTGTTATTTTTCTCCCTAAACTAGAATGTCAGTTCCAACAATGCTAGCACTTTGTCTGGCTTCTTGATCACTCTATCCTCTTTGCTTAAAACAGTATCTGACACAAGATAGTTGCTTAATAAATACAGTTTGGTTAAACAACTGTACGGATATATAACTCTAACAATAAATTATTGTTAGTCAATAATAATTACTTGGTATTTACATTCCTGCTTATTTTTTCCTATTATGAGCAATAATGGCATAAACATATGTATATTATACATGCCAGAAACATGTAAAAAACTTCTATATTTGCTTTCTAAGATTTAGGAGTCAAAAAATATGGTTACTTTTACAGTTTTTGATGCCTAGTGCCACACTGCTTTCCACCAGAAAGTTATGTTTTATATCACTTCAGAAATTAATGAAAGCTTCTTTCTTCTCACCTGGAAAGACAATGTGCATTTTCCCTTAATAGGTGAAAGAAAATTTTTATTAAGATTTACCTTTTTTCAATTAGTAAAGGACATTTTTATATGAAAATTATCTATTTACACTTTTTTGCACGAATTGCCTCTACCTGTCCTTTGCTCATATTTCTGATTTGCTTTTATTCATTGGTATGAACTTTTTGTGTATATCCATTATTTTAACCATGTTAAAATGTCATTTTTCACAGTTTGTAATTTGTCTTTCAATTGTGATTACTATATTTTAAATTCTATACATAAATTTAAATTTTATACGGTCATATTGATTACAGTATTTTACTGACTTCCTAAATGGCTTTTGACTTTGCTGTACTCTTAGAAAGCTTTTCAACTCACTATTCAAAAGGCATTCACTTATTATTTTATTATTTTCTTCCAGCATTTAATATTGGAAAACTAAAGAAAAATACAGTATAGTACAGCTTTACTTTCAGAGTAAGTAGAGCTCTTATTGCCTTGCTTTCCCCCTCAACTGGCTACCCAGCTGCTCTCCTTTCAATAATTCATCCTTTCTCCACTCACGTGGATGTGAAATTGTGAGATGTCACTGTTTTTTATATTTAAAGTACAGACACAATTAGACCTTCTAATCTTTCTCCTTAAAAAATAAATAAATAAATAAAAAGCTTAGGAACTGATACAATACCATCCTTGAGCCAATCATTCCAAAGGAAGAGAAATATTTTTTATATTTAGCCAATATTTAATTTGATATTAATTATCCAGAAATTTGGTATTAGTACTCCAGTAAGAGACTCAACACCTTTGCCCATGCTACATCGCAACCAAATTTAAGAATGTCAATTTGTTACTTGAAAATATTAATTGTACATTTTAAAATAACTAAAAGAGTGTAATGGGAATGTTTGTAACAGAAAGGATAAATGCTTGAGGTGATGGATATCCCGTTTACACAAATGTTATTATTACATGTTGCATGCTGTATCTAAATATCTCATATAACCCATAAATATATACACCTACTAGGTAATCACAAAAAATAAAAATAGTGATAAAACTAAAAAAAAAAATGTCAATTCGCTCAGAACAAAGTTGATTATCACTTTCAATCGAGATTCGCATCTGGAAGATTGAGAACAGCACGTCAGGGTTCTTTTGGAAAAGCTCTAGGAATCCTGGGGGTCCACTGAGATGAAGGAACATAGGATGAGCCCCTGGAAGGCTTCCTCAGACCTGGGGAAGGAGATTGTCCCCAGAACCCGTGGAGCTAATGAAAACAGGTAGTAGGGGACCCTCTATAGAAGTCCTCTCAGTTATTCAATTAGGGGTCCCATTTTTAAGGATATCACTGGGATTTCAATATCCTGGGTGATATAAATACATTAGGAAAAAATACGACAGAAAACTACAGCTTCTTTACAGCCTTAGAAAAGTAAAACGCATAATTCCTAACTCTAGAAGGCTAGTATTCGAGTACATTAGTTTCTTTCTCTCCGACTTTCACTTGAACTTTTAAAATGCTTGCTCTGGTGGTCCGTAGTATTTTCGCGTTCGTATGTGGTGTACCCTACCTCTCAATAGATTTCATCCAAAACCCCAAGTGCGGAAGACAAAGCTAGGTGCAACGTTTTAACCCTCCACAACTCCAACCTCTACTAACTCCCTAGGAGCAGGCGAGGCACCAGCCCCGCGAGAAAACACTGAGATCTGGGGCGTGGCTGTGAAGCCCGGTATTTCTGGCCGCGATCTCAGCGGGTAAGGTCCCAGCTGCGCGTTATCAGCTCCCTCCAAGAAGCATCTTTATTTGACCCCCTCCCATGCAGGCCCTATTCCTACACCAGTTCTCTTTCTTAGAATCTCTTTGGTACTGTAATTTCATTAATTCCACAACCATATTCCCACCTATTCCCTAACAACAACAAAATTTGAAGGTCTAGGTTACTGCCGCGTCTCCCTAGCAACCGTACCCGTTAATGGTTGCCGGAAAAGGCTACGATCACGTGCTTCCAAGATTTCCGGGTGGCCAACGTGACTTCCGGTTGTCAGAATTTCCCTCTGACTCGGCGGCGGCCGAGGGGAAGCTGTGTGGTCCCAGGTCGCGGCGGCCCGGGTGGTGGTGGGCTCCGGGCGCGCTCGCGTCATTCTGCCCCCGCTGCGATGCATCCGCGGCGCCCGGACGGATTTGATGGCTTGGGCTACCGGGGTGGTGCCCGGGACGAGCAGGGCTTTGGCGGCGCTTTCCCAGCAAGGTCCTTCAGCACCGGGTCGGACCTGGGCCACTGGGTGACGACTCCCCCAGACATCCCCGGCAGCCGCAACCTGCACTGGGGCGAGAAGAGCCCGCCCTACGGCGTGCCCACCACCTCCACCCCGTATGAAGGCCCCACGGAGGAAGCCTTTTCCAGTGGCGGCGGCGGTGTGCAGGGGCAGAGCAGCGGTGAGGAGCATGGGGACCAAGGCAGGGGTGGTGGGTTAGTGGGGCCACGGATTGCGGCCTGCAGACCCCGGAAGCGGTGCAGAGGGTCCCGCCTCCTGTTCCTTCTCATCCTATCGCGCGCCACACCCTTTGCCCTCCTTTCGTCCTCTGCCCCTGAAGCAGGCCTCCTTAGTGTTCCTCACACAAACGGATTCTACGGGATCAACTCCAAAAAAGACATCTGCCTTAGCTGTGGGGTGCATAGTAGGAATATTTAGAGGTTTTGGCATCTCAACTGATTGCCTGAGTTAAGGAGAGTGGATTGTTTACTGTTACCTGATTCACTTTGGCAGCTGTATTTTCTTGATACAATTAATTAATTTGTTTACTTGTAGTTTTGTGTTCTGAAAAGAGAAGCCTTTCAGCATAAGCAAATTTGGGTTCAAACTTGGTTCTACCACTCATAATCTGAACAATTTGACCTCTGTGAGCCCTCAGTTTTCTCATCTTTAAAATGTGTAGAAGAATCCAGTATGGGACACATAAGCCAAAAAAAATTGTTTCCTTTCTTTTCTTTTTAAACACAGGAGTTTTATCTGCTTTTGAAGTCCCCAAGTCTAGAATGTTTCCTTCTTATAATCTTCCTTTCTGCCTTCCTTCTTCTGACCTAAAAACTACACATAAAAGTTAGAAACACTGGTACAATTTCAAGATAGGACTTTGGAATCATGACAAAATTATTCTCCATGGGATGTCAGAAAACCTGCAACACTGCATGATGTAGATATTTTCATCATACATTATTCATAATATGTGAATAATGGCTACCTCTTTTCATTCTCTTGGAATTGTTAGAATAATAGATCATTTAATATTAATTTTATTGTAGACATCAGCTTTATTCTCATTTCCTCGACTTTGACTTGGAAGTACAATAATGTTTATTTGCGTTAACTAGGAAGAATAGACTTTAACAAATGTCTATTGAGTAAATGAGTATGTGAAGAAGAGTGGATGAGTTACCTAGTGTCATACAATTAGCTTTTTGACTAACTATTCCCCCTCCCCCACCACCTGTCATACAATTAGCTTTTTGACTAACTATCCCCCCTCCCCCACCACCCCATGTTGTGTCTCACTGGTCCCAGTACTCCCAATACTAGTCCAGAATAATACTGGAAAGGTTGTCCAAGTTATAAATAAAATAATTCAAAAATGCATATACCGTTGCTACACAGTTTCTCAGGCAGTAAAGTTTATGTTTTTATTTTTCATAAGTTATGCTTTGATGGTTACAATGAGGAGGAGTTCCTTGACACAACCAGGGGGTTATTTTGCAGCCCTAACAGGTGGGTGAATGTTAATTTTGCACCAAAGATAGATACCTAAGAGACACAGTAAACAAGAATAAACCTTCCTAACACCTTTTAGAAAATCTTAGTAGCATTTTCTGTTACTGCTTGGGGATGATATATACGTATAAAAAGGGTAAAATCTAAGGTAAAATTACCTTAAGTGAGTAAAAGAAGCTTTCTATTTAGCTTGTACATTTTTCTAGGGTGAACCATGTAGTTTCCCAGGAACGTGCTTAGGTGGCCTTGTTCTAATTGAAAGGGAATAGTGACCTGGTGAGGTGGCTCATGCTTGTAATCCCAGCTCTTTGGGAGGCCGAGGTGGGCACATCATGATGTCTGAAGATTGAGACCAGCCTGACCAACACAGTGAAACCCTGTTTCTACTAAACTTACAAAAATTAGCTGGGCCTGGTGGCGGGCGCCTGTGATCCCAGCTACTCAGGAGGCTGAGGCAGGAAAATTGCTTGAACCCAGGAGACAGGGGTTGCAGTGAGCTGAGATCGCACCAGGCACTCCAGCCTGGGTGACAGAGCTAAACCCTGTCTCAAAAAAAAAAAAAAAAAAAGGGGGGAGGGTGTGGAGGGGGGAATAGTGAGGGCAATTGCTTCATTTGAAAGAGTAGAGGAGAAAAAGAATTGTAACTTGTGAATATTATAGTTAGAATTTAAGTCTGGTCCTTTGGGGTTGTAATAGTTCACCACTATGACTCAGTTTAGTCAAGGAGAAAGGCTTTTCTCTTTTGACATATGCATAGTAATGTTTTCCAGCTGTGAACTTTTCCAGTAACACAACAGACATGCCATCAGTAGTAGCATATATGTATCCAGTAACCTATTCCAGTTAATTAAACAGATAGTCTCAAACTATTCAAAACTTGAAGAGATGGCGAAGAAAAGAGCTGTATTTACCCATTTTGGTTATTCCTAAGTCCCCTTTCAAATTAACAATTTAGAGGTGATTTACTTGCAGTTATTGGTTTAATAAAGTGCTCTCCATCAGTAACAGTGAATAACTAGGTTTACAGCATAGGACGTAAAATGGTAGGTGGAAGTATCAGCTGTGGCCAACCACAGAAAGTTTTTTATTAGAATGCAATCAGAATCTGGTAGCCCTTAGGTTCTATCTGCATATTGGTTTCATTAAGCCCACAATATTTTAACAATTTTTGAAATAGTTGTCCAGGACTTTAAAATTGGAAGATGTTGTATAAAAATGAGAATATCGATTTTTGAAAAAATTACAACTTCAAAACCCTGCGCCCACAGTCCCATTTTGCAGTATTGAATTGGAGTGAAAGAGTAATTGTGCCTTTAAAAGGTCTACACCTTTCAATCTGCCTCAAACCCCTGCAGAGTCCTTCATTCATTTAAATTATTTCCCTGGCCCTTACCAGAATTTGACTTTGAGGTTTAAATGAACAGCATGTTAATAAAATTAACTTTTTAAAATTGTTTTTAGAGTAAACCTAAATATTAGTTATCAGTAATATTACTATTATTATTTTCATTTTAGAACAGCTGAATAGATTTGCCGGATTTGGTATTGGACTTGCAAGGTAATGTTTTATCTAAAGACATTTAAAGCTTTTATTGATTTAATTTAGAGTTTTTCTTAAATGTGTAATATCAAATGATTATTATTGCTTCCTTTAGGTTGTTTCTTTGAAGCAGTAGTTTAAATTTTGAAATATTTTGCAGAAAAAACATCATTATTTAAAATATGTAATTTGATAGTTTTTCTTGTAAAGATAGACTAGTCATCCAAATTTATAAACACAAAGTAACTTTGTAGTGAGTATTGTAACTGCTTTCATGGGTCTATCCGAAGAATAAAATGAAATGTACTCTTATCTCTCTCTCATCAAAAAAAGTAATTTCGAATGAGGTTCATGAAGATCTAACGGCTCTGCTGATAGGAACTTTGTTCATAGGACAATTTCTGAAAGACATAAAAATTACATGGCATTTAATGATGCCATTTAATTGATGTGTAATTTCCATATCAAACACAGAAATCTAGTTTCATTGTATACTATAAATATTAATATTACATATTATGTATTGTTTCCCTTATTTACCCGTTTGCAGATCTGATTTTCATTCTTTTCATGGGTCTATCCAAAGAATAAAATGCTATTTAATTGATGTTTCATTTGTCACATTAAACATACAGAGATGTAGTTTTATCTTATACTATAGATATTATGTATTATATATTGTTCACCTTATTTACCAGCTTGGAGATCTGGTTTTCTTTCTTTTCATATCGAATTTTATTACTGGTAAAATCATTGGCAAACACTTCTAGACATTTTTAAATATCTAGATTTTTAAGATTTTTTTTTAAGAAAGGAGAACATAAAATAATGCATGATTCTTCAGGCAAGAATAACTTTAGAAAGATACATGTTGTAAATTTAATTTGTCTCTATGTAGACACATATATACATAAATTATTTTTATATAGTCTCTTTACAGAAAATGTATTGGCACATCCTTGCATTGTTCTACGCCGTCAATGTCAGGTAAATGTAATTTCTGTGATCTTTTGAAGCAATAATTCTGACCCTAATATGAAGGGCAGAACTCACATAAATGACATGAAACCAAGTAGTCATTACTTCATGTGAAATGTCCCAAACTTTTTGGTCTCAAAACCTCTTTAAAGTCTTAAAAAATAGTAAAGATCCTAAATAACTTTGATTTATGTTGGTCATATCTATTGGTATTTCTCATTTCCGAAATTAAAATTGGGAAAATTTCAATGTATCTATATAATTCAGTAAGGTAATTTTATGAAAGTAACTATTTTGCATTTTTGCAAATGTCTTTAATATCTGACATAATAGGAGACAGCCAGTTTCTCTCATATGCTTCTGCAATCAGTTGGTTGCATTACGTGGTTTTTGAAAGAAGCAAGGAAGTTTAGTCTTGTACACATGTGTAGTTGAAAGCAGGAGGGGAGTATTTTATACTCTTTTGAGATAATTGTGGGTATTCTTTGCAATTGCACCAAAACTCACTGTGTGGTAGTTCTTAAAGTTTATTTGCAATGTGAAATCAGAAATCATTTTAGTGAACTTTTTGTTACATAAAAAATCTATTTATCTACACTACATCTTGAATAGCTATTTTTACTTATGCATGATTCCATATACTTGTACACAGATTATTTGAAATATATTGACTAATTGAGTTACATAGATCTTCGAGATGTTAAAACATTTGATTATAAAATATCAAAAAATCATCTTCATTAAAACCACTACTGATCTCACTAGAAAATCTTTAAGTATTGGCAGCTCTCAATGGTGGATATAGATTTTCCAAAATTCTGAGTTTTACTTGAAAACTCAAACTTATTATTGACAA